GCAGGCAAGATGATGCACATGTCATGTAACGTTTATGAGCACAGAGCACTATTATTTTCTTCAAGGGTTTATCTGAGATTCTAACTACTACTTTCACACTAGTGAGATAGAAAAAAATGATGCCAAGTCTGATGGAAACAGACAGAACCATCGCCCTTAACACATAACCAGCCGCGGGCACATAAATGTGTCCTCCATAAGTCCATAAGAATTTATATGGGGGTTATAATACTAATACTTTATAGATCAATTTCTGCTTATTTAAGGAGATCCCCAAGGTGTCCAAAGGGTTAAAGTAGCCACAATATCATACTCTGTACAATATACAACCATGGTACTAGCTGTGTCGTGTACAATGTGTATTCGTAGTGGAACTAAGAGCATAGTATGACTGTTCGATGCATATTTTTACAATGAAAAAGGTTAGCTACTGTTATAATAATTATTCAGATGGACACCTCTAAAATATTGAACATCGTATCCCCACAGCTCACTATGCAGTGTTATCCTAAGAACACAGCACCATGTGGAATGTCCAGAGGATCTGCAACAACCGATGGTCAATTTGCGTACTTCACCCCACGTAGCTCCAACTCAGTCTACCAGTATCAATTGAGTAGGGACAGATGGGAGGAGCTCCCTTCATGTCCGTACAGAAACTCTGGCCTAGTTATGATGATGAACAGGGAACTTACAGCTGTGGGGGGACTGGGAGAGGATAGAGTTGCACACGACAACCTTTTCACGCTACGACAGAGGAAATGGGTTGAAGAATACCCCAATGGCTTCATATACCCACCAATGAACACTGCACGTTCATCTCCAGCTGTAGTTAGCATATCTGATGGTGAATTGCTAGCAGTGATTGGAGGGTGTGGTGAACATTGGTTTTGGCTCTCTCAAGTCGAAGTATTTCAAGCGACATATGCAAGATGGTACACACTAGAAGACTTACCACATCCTCTCGAACTTCCCAGTCCTTCAGCCACAATATGTGGTGATCAATTGCATGTGATAGGAGGTTCTACTCTAGGCTACTCATGCTCCCTTCAAGCTCTTATTGAATCGAGTCGCTCACCAGGATTGGGACCGCACCTCATATCATGGACATCTCTCCCTCTTCTACCAGTGATAAACGCGACACCTGCGAATTTCTGTGGACAGCTGGTCATTATTGGCGGGATAGACCAAAGTTTGTCACCAGTCAACTCCATTTACCTGCTAGAGAATAGAAAGTGGAAAGAGGTTGGCTCTATGGCTAGTGGTAGGAGTGAGTGTTTGGTGGCCAGTCCTTCGCAAGACAAGATCATCATAGTGGGTGGGCAGGAAGCACATTTCAGAGACACCCTGAGTGTTGAAGAATTTGTACTTTTGTTTATGTAAACACCACTTATTGTGCCATTAAATGACTGGTGAAGCAACTAAAACAAAGCAACACATTTTTGACCCTCGCCCACACATGCTCTAGAGGGTTGGTTCGTAAGTGTGTCTGTCTGTCTCTCTGTCCACCCTGTTTAATAAAATTGTGCACTTCTGCAAAAATGTCCAAAAAACTACTTACCGAGTTTGTCCACAAACAAATTCTTGTCACGGAAAAGTGTTAACGTACTAAGTTACACAGCGCCATGCTTTGGGATAGCAAATACTTGTCCCCACATTCTGTTTCATGCACAAAAAGATAGGATCTCAATGATGACACAATGACACAGATGTACAATCAAAAATTAGTGTCTTGCTGCAGCAGTTATTAACAAAAGCCAGAAGGAATACGTCCTTCACTTTAGCATCTCCATGCTATTAAGTTTAATGAAGGAGAAAACGGACCTCCTACTGAAAAATCCTCCCACCACGATTAGATGGTCTTCAGAAAGGATAGCTGAAATGCACCTTGATCGTTGCGTGTTCATTTGACTAGCGACAGTCCAAGAGTCAGTACGGGAGTTGTATACATAAACATCAGATGTTGATATGTGTGTATCGTCTTCCCCGCCAATAGCAACCAGGTGTCCACCGAATGAGACAAGAGTAGAGTGGGTCACTGGCAAACTGCATATCTCCTTCCATACATTATTGCGTGGTGGCTGTCGTAATCTGGATCCACGTGTGTTTGATGTAAGAAGCTCGGGAAGAGAGCAGGTGAAGACCGACTTGAATGGACAGTTTAAACCCTTTAAACTTGAAGAAGCAGTTATACCTCCAGCGAGGTAGAGTGTATTTTCACAGATAGCAGCTGAAAGCTCTGAACATCTCCGAGGAAGACGAGGTACAGTGTTCCATTGTTTAGTGTGTGTGTTCATTACTTCCACCGAATCTACAGGAACAGCAAAACATGCCCATCCTACATCACCTCCTGCTACAACTAGAGCATTCTCTGTAGTGGCGCAAACTACATTATCGCGTGGTGTGGGCATGGGAGGTATGATCTTAGACCATCTCCCACCTGTGAGAGTGAGGAGAACGTCAGTGTTGTCAAAGTTTCTCCTACCACCGACACTAGTAAGTAGACCATCAATAATTGCCAGGCCGCTATTCACATTACAGTTGTCTGGTAGGCGAGTCCACTTGTTTTTGTATGAGTAGATTTGGAACGAATCAGCTGCTCTGAAGTAAGCTGTGTTCTCGTGAACTACTGCTACTCCCCTAACCATTGCCTCTGGTGCATTCCTTCCCCCTCTCCACCTCATACTTCCAATATCCCTTCGAGCTGCTGCCACCCTTCTCTGTAGTGTTGTGACTGGCTGCTGCTGTAGTTGGTGTCCACTGGCCCTGTATCCCTGCTCCAGCTGTTGAATCTTTCTTTCATGGTCTGATATGGTCCGCTGGAGCTCAGTGATGGTCCTATCTTTCTGTTGCAAGCTCCCCTGAAACTCTGACACTAACTGCTCACTTGCCTTTTTCTGGTGCTTGGTTTGCTTCAACTCTCTCTCTTTTCTTTCCAACCTCTGATTCATACTACATATTCTACTTTGCTTTTCTTGCAGCTGCATATCCTTTGCCTCTAACTGCCTAACATGTTGTGTGCATCTGCCACACTTTTCCCTCTCTTTGCTCGCTGAATACCGAGGGGTTTGTTTCAGTTCAGACAGAGTCTCACTGAGGTCTTGAGCTGAGGGACGTTTCTTTTCCTCGTTATGTATACATTCGAGGACTAGTGGCTTCAGAGAATTGGTGTCTGGGATCAACTTGAGATGTGCCTGACAACGTTCTGTCTTGGAGATTATTACCCGAATCTGTTCATTACTAAGGACTTTATAACGGCCATCAGTTGGATTGGGAAACTCGTTGGTATATAAGGATCTGGATAAGAAACATGCCAAAGGAAAACATATCAAGTTTAAATGTATACGTTTTGGCTGTGTTTATAGCTTGTGGAGGCATGTAAAGACTATTACCAGGGCATGGTGTGGCCTCGCATCATGAGTATCTGCATTGGCAAGCCTGGACATTCCGAAATCTGTGATCTTTGCTCGAGAACCAGCAATTATTGTTTTCTGTTAAGATGAGACTATTGGAGTTTAGTGCATATATAGCTCATTTGAATCGAGTAATTTGATTGGTCAATACAAATTTAAAAGTGTGACAGATGCACACAACATGTTAGGCAGTTACAGGCAAAGGATATGCAGCTGCAAGAAAAGCAAAGTAGAATATATATGTAGTATGAATCAGAGATTGGAAAGAAAAGAGAGAGAGTTAAAGCAAACAAAGCATGTAGGATGGGCAGTTTTTGCTGATCCTGTAGATTCAGTGGAAGTAATGAACACACACACACTAAACAATGGAACACTGTTCCTCGTCTTCCTCGGAGATGTTCAGAGCTTTCAGCTGCTATCTGTGGAAATACACTCTACCTCGCTGGAGGTATAACTGCTTCTTCAAGTTTAAAGGGTTTAAACAGTCCATTCAAGTCAGTCTTCACCTGCTCTCTTCCCGAGCTTCTTACATCAAACACACGTGGATCCAGATTACGACAGCCACCACGCGATAATGTATGAAAGGAGACATGCTTGCCTAGGGACTTGTTTTGTTTGTGAATGTATATACAAGAAAACATGGTAAACATGGTAAGGAAGCTACAATTTCAACAGAAAATATGGTAAGGAACCTACAACTCAGAATTACATGGTAAGGACTACAACTTCAACAATGTTGACACATTCTCAACATGACATAATAAAACAAAAGACGTCAGAGAGGAGTCAAGAACGCGTAAGTGTGCAATTGTGCGCATGCGCGTGAGGGAAAAGAAATGGGGCGTGGCAATCCCGCTGCAATAGCGCGGAGCCAGCTCCGGCTCTAAGCCTAGCCCGTGCATATTGCTGGTCTTTCCGACAAAGACGCTTGAGCCAAAGACTCGTACCGTGCCGCAAAGAGCGTGGGTAGACGCTCCAGCTATGTATGGATGGCGGCGCGAGTGAAATCTCACGTGATCCGCGTACAAAACGCCTCGAAACTCGGCAAGAATGGCTAACTATGCCTTC